GGGGGGGGGGGTTTCCACAGATGTGTGTCGCCTGCTACCCTCTGTCTTCTGTCCCCACCCGGGGTTAGTTCGTCCAGTACGGGGAGGCTCCGTAGGCCGTTTTGGAGGCCTGAGGCTTCTGCTGCAGGGCACTCGGCTGGCTGCGCTGGCCGGACCCCCCCTGGAAAGAGAAAACAGTCTTGGTCAGAAGGGGGCAGCACATTCATCCTACGGCCATCTGCCCGTCAGTCCTGCCAACTGGCCCAAGCACCCCTCACTATGCAGAAGCCGGTAACCCCCCCCCCGTCTCCAGCCTCGCCATCTTCCTGAGTACCCTGTTCCTTTTTAAAAAATATTTTATTTAATTGTAAGTGCAAACAAAAGAATTTCAACATCTAAGTAACATCCAACCCAGAATTTTAACAGTAACAAGACAAACAGGATAACGTAAGCTTCAGGACAGAAGGGATAATGATGCAACAAGAAGGTGTCACTTGCGCGCTGCCTGAGAGTACTATATACGGGTACGGACATAAACGTGAGCATGAACATGAATAACTAGGGTCATCTAGAGTGCTGTGTTGTCAAAGATTCAAGAGAATCGCTTATTTAAAAATGAAGCCACAATGCAAAGTTTGGATTTTTTTGGGCAGGAGATCGTTTTCTGCCATGAATGTAAGTATGGGAACCAGGTGTTTGTGAATTTGGAGTGTGTTGTGCATTGTTCCAAAACTACAAAGAAATAAGCAGGGGGAAACTATAAACTACGGGAGAAAGTAAAGATAACCACTAAAAACCCAAGAGGTGGTGGTCATATAATGGTTACAATATAGCTTTAAGTCAAAGAGAGCAATTTTGTTACATTTAAGGTGATCATTAAAGTCGCTGATATGCTTCAAGTCCAGATATTCTGACTTAGTAAAGTACAATACGAAAGAACGAGTAAACATTTAAAACAAAAACACAGAAAACAAGCTTTAGAGAAAATTAGCATCTCATTTTTTGCCTCTTCTTTCCCTCAATTGATAACCTTGCTTGGGGGCAGCCGCCCCACATTCCGAATCTGAGTCTCCTTCAGTAGGTGTTAGGGGTGTGCAAAAAAATAAAATTCGGCCCATTTGGATTCGGCCAAATTGGGCAGAATCAATTTCGGCTGGCAGTAAGACTCCTGCATGTCAGTTTAGTCAGTAGGAGCCATTGGGGAGTCTTTGGGCCAGCCGAATGTCAATTTCAGCCCCATTATGTCCTATGGGCCATTGAAGTCAATGGTGAAAACATAGGGTATATTCTGGGGGCTGGAGGGGAGGGGGCTTCAGGGAGAGACTCCAAACTCGCAGGGTAGCTGCTGGAGCCCCTCCCCAAGATACCACCCAAGTTTCAAGAGCATTGGACCAGGGGGTCCAATTCTACGGGCCCCCAAACAGGTTGCCCCTATCCCCTCCATTGTTCTCTATGGTCCAATGTTCTTCAAACATTGTGTGA